TGTGTGTGTGTACCGTCAAATCGGATCTGAGTGGTACAGGAGGAGATTGCCCCTCCTTCTCCAGCAGAGCATCTGGTGGATTCAAACTGTGTACCTCTGGGCTTGCAGTGCAATTTCTTGCCACTAGGCCACCAGAACTCCCTTAGGGCGCGTATCTTAACTGCTAACACAAAGGGTGCACTTCTCCGGTGGTTCGGATCCATCAGCGGCGCTGAAAGAAAGATGAGCAATCTCCTCATCAAGTGATTGACAGCCTTGGGAACCAGCGAGGGGGTCACTGGGAGACGGCTGTGAGTGTGAGTGAAGGGGGTACCCTGAGTACCTGGGGCTGGAGGCACCCTGGAAGGTACAACCCCATGAGAGAGCTGGTGACAGCATCAGAGGGGACAGCTGTCCACTGTGGGTGCCAGGCAGCTTACTACAAAGGCCACTGCAGCTCAGCCTTCCTGGGGGCAGCTGGAGACCCCCCATCCCCACCCCTATGCCCATGTAGCACAGGTGCAGTGAGCACGGCTTCACTGGAGGTGAAGGGTGGCAGCTAAAAATGGATTTGACTTCACGGGCTGAGTCACTGGGAGCGTCTGACTCATCACACACGGACACCACCCGAGAGCATGCTGGGATCTGAGGAGGGGGCTGGAATCAGCACGGTGTGGGGTGGAGGGGACAGGAGGTATCGCTATAGTTGTGAAGGGGGCGAGTTCTCACTAGTGCGTGAAGCTGACAAGGTTACCTAAGGATACGTAATGATGGTAACATCACCATCCGGACCCCCAGCCCCAGTTTCCTCTATGGGAAGATCTAGAATCGGTCTGTAGGCTTGGCAAAAAGCCAGAGCTCAAATGGGGCCTGGGGTCCTTGTGCCCTGCAGGCCACTGAAGCTGATGATTGAGTCTGGGACTAGGGGGCCAGGAAGAGGCCCTCTCCTACCAGGCCTGCTCTCAGCTGCCCCTGGAGACCCTCGCTTGGGGACACCAGCTTGTCCAGAGATCCTGGACGATGCCAAGCTTCCCTCAGGGTGTTTGAGTGTCTGAGCCATTTGTCAGTCTGGGTCCTTGGCAGTGCGGGTTCTGGGGGTGAGGGTGGGCGTCCAGGACGGGCTGTTCCCCATGGCCTCACTCTGTCGGCTCCGGCCTGGGGGAACGTGGTGAGCTGGGCCTGTCTGTGGAGCACCCTCCCCATGGGGATGATGGCCAGCCAGCCCCGTCTGTACACCCCCTCCCCAGGGGACCCAGGGAGGAGGCCAGACCCGCTTTTCATTCTCTCCTTTGACACTTGACAGTTTACAAAGCCCATCTCCATTTGCGAGGGGGATATTATTATCCCAGTTTATAAACATGGGGCTCAGGAGCGCTGTCTAAAAGCTTGGGGCGGCAGAAAGAGATGCTGTGGGTTGCAGATAGATCTAGTCAAGTTCAACTCTGAGCGGGGTCACTTGGCTGGCGGCTCAGTGAATTCCATCTCCTTCTCCGGTCCCCTCCCAACACAGTCATCTCAAGTGGGGTCTAGTCAGCAGAAGCAAGAGATTGGGCCTCACTGAACACTCTTGTTTTTGAGTCTGGGCACCCCAAGACTGCTGACCTGGGGAGCCTCTACCTCTCTAAGGTCTGATCTCTCTCTCTCTCTCTCTCTCTCACTGGAGAGGATGAACCACTTGGAAAGGGGCAGGCGAGGAGGTCTCAGCACCCCAGCGTGCACAGATAGAGATTCACGACTGAAATCATCTCTCTATTCAGATGAGGAAACAAAACCTTGAGAAATGCCCAAGGTCAACCAAAGGCACTGCGGCCTGGAGCTGAGGCTTCTGCTTCCTCTCGGGCTCCTATCCCCAGGCCTCCACCACCTGCTGTGCCCAGGAGCCCATCCAAGGCCCGAAGCTGGCACGCAGCCTCACACAGCCCCTGGGAACACTCTTTCTCTGGGTGTTGTCCGTCTCCATCCCTACACCACGTTTGGCTGCTCTCTGACCTGGGCAGACCCCTCCACCCATGGCCGGAACCCTCAGCTTGATCCTCGTGGCGCCAGGCAGGTCCCACAGGGCAAGCAGGGCAGCTGCCAGGATGCGGGGTGGGAGGGAGGCAGGCAGGCGGGGCTGGGCCCGGGGCTCTAGCTCAGCTGGACTGATCATTGCCTAGGACACGCTGCCCCCCGTTTCTGAGGTCTTGGGAGAAGAGGACAGAGGACAGTGTATCAGTGTCAGAGTTGAACCTGGTTCCTGCCTTTCAAAGGGATTCTTTGTGGTGCGAGCAAAAACAGGACAAGCCTGGCCGAGCCCCTGGCCTCTGACCTTCAGCCTCCTCGCACGGCCACTGCCCATTGGGTGGCTTTGAAAAATGCAGATCCCAGCTCCCCTGTCCTGCTCAGACACTGCCAGTAACTGCCTCTCTGAAGACACAGCTCCCTGTTGCTCGGCCCATATCATGTGTGGGGCTGCTCTTGTTGTTGGTGCTGTCGAGACGCCTATGACTCAGAGCCACATTGTGAACGATGGATCCGAACCCCGTCCTGTCCCAGAGCGGCCCTGTGAACCATGGATTTGACCCCATCCTGTCTCAGAGCCACGCTGTGAACCATGGATCTGACCCCGTCCTGTGCTGCACCGTCCTCCTCATCTCTGACATGTGAGCCCTCGGTTACCGTCACTGTGACGTCACTGTGTCAATCCATCCGACTGAGGAACTTCTCTCCTTTGCCGACTCTTCTTCACCTTCCCAAGCACGATGTCCTTTTCCAGGGAACGGCCCTTCCTAGCAATATGCCTCAAGTGTGTGAGACAAAACATCACCATCCCTGCCTGCAAGGAGGCTCCTGGCTGCCCTTTTTGCAGGACGTATTTGTTAGTTCTGGGCCGGTCCACGGGACATTCAGGGCTCTTCTCCACCACCACAGCCAAAGGCGTCAGTTCTCCTGCCATCCTGAGTCACGGTCCAGCTCTGAAATGCGTAGCAAGCGAGTGAGAAGTTCGGGGCTTGGGTCCAATAAGAGCCTTCCCACATTTTATCAGTGGGTTGGGACCCTTGGTGTTGGTGCCACCAAAGTGTTGTTAGATGTGGGATTGTGCTTAACAGGGCAAAACCCTGTGGGGTCCTCACCATCCGGGTGTGCGCTCCCCACTGAGCCCAAGTCCCCTAACTGCCGTCATGGTGCCAATCCATCTCACTGAAGGTCTTCCCTTCCTTCACCGACTCACCACATTTCCAAGCACCATGGTCTTCTCCAGGGACTGGTCAACTCCTCAGAGCATGGCCAAAGCGTCCCCATCCTTGCTTCTGACCTTGTCAGAAACAACGTTTAGGAATGAAATAGAATAGAATGGACTGTTACAGGCTATAAAACAGAGTATTTTTTTTCCTGCAGCCTTTTTTGTTGTGTTTGCACAAGTGTGCTGGGTGACTGCTGTTAGATGCCGTTAAGTACGACTCATAGAGACCCTTGAGCAGCAGAGCTGAACTCTGCCCTATCTTGTGCCACCTTCATCATCGCTGGCACACCTGAGCCCCTCGCTGCAGTCACTGTGTCAATCCACCTCCGTGGGAGGCTCATCCTCTCTTCCATGGACCTTCCGTCTTTCCAAGTGTGATGTCCTTTTCCAAGGAATCTGAGGAACAGCCTTGCCTAGCAACGTGTCCAGGGCATAAGATACGAGGCTTTGCCGTCTGAGCCTCCAGGGAGCTCTGTGGCTGCGGTGATGAGTTATTTTGGAAAGACATTGTAGCCTCGATGACAAACAGCTCTCCCCTTCTCCACGTGAGGGCACCTGCCCCAAAGGAGGCACTTGAGTGAGTGACGAGTGAAGGAATAAATCTGGTCTTGGGTGGAAGAGTCCCTTTGCCGCAGACCTATTCCCTTGACCCAGGAAAGCCTTGATGGTACATCCAGACTCTCTCTAAGCTGTTGAGAACAAGCCTGCTGGGATCTCAGTCCCCAAATTGAGTCACAAGTCTATTGGGATAACATGTACCACTCCTGACCCCAAAGGTCCCCAGACTTCCCAGGAGTGGAGGGCCTCGAAGGAGGTACATCAGTGGTTTACCAGTGGTTTATAGTCCCTTGGGTATGGGGCAATGGGCTAACACACTCAGCTACTAACTGAGAGGTTGGAGGTTTGAATCCATCTAGAAGTGCCTCAGAGAAAAGTCTGGTGATCACCTTCTGAGAGAACTAGCCACTGGGAACCCCACAGAGGCCACTTCTCCTGACAAGCATGGGGGCACCAAGAGTCAGGCTGTTTGCTGGCGATTGCTCTCTCCTGGGATGGAGTGAGGCTCCTTAGGGACCTTTCCTATGCCTCAGCCCTTTGGTGTTCCCCGAAGTCCATGGCACTCTGATCAGAATGCCTGTTGGGTGGAGGAGAGGCAGAGGGGAGAAGGAATGGCTGGCCGCCTTCTTCTCTGTTCCTTCTCCATCATGTCCCTTCTGCAGCTTTCTTTTTCAGTTTCTGATCTCTCTCTTTCTCTCTCGGCATTTTCCTTCACCTGCTTTTTCTTTCTTCAGGGACCGAGGGGCTCAGGAGCCTGGGTTTGCAGTAAAGTCTTTATCAGAAACAGATGGGCTGCAGGGCCTCTCTTCGAGGCCACAGGAAAGGAAGGAGCCCCTGGGCACCCAAGAGAGACCATCTTTATTTGGTCCCCCTTGTGCTGTGCATCTGAAGGCAGCAGCAGCAGGCAGGGTGAGCTTCCTGCAGCCACTGGCCTGGAACAGAGAAGGTCCAGAGGCTTGCAGGAGAGGTGTTGGGGGGAGTGAGTGCGTCCCAGTGCATGTGGGGGTACAGTACATGTGACATTGTGTGTGTGTTGTCAGATTGCCTGCAGTATCACATCAGCTCACCCAACTTGCTCACGCAACTCCTCCTGCATTCCCCCCTCCCCTGCATTTTAAATGGAGACTAACACACATATACACAGCGAAATGCACAAATCTCAGGCACGTAATTTGAGAATTCTTATCTGTCTGTTTGCCCAATGCAAATGGTTGACATGCTTGGCCCTCACCTCTGAGCCAACAGGCAATATCATGACCGAGAGAGAAAGGATTGAAGTTGTCAGTGATTTCATCTTCTTTGGAAACGCAAGTGACACACTTGGTACTAGCTGTCAGGAGCTCAGGAGATCGATTGCACCGGGCGAGTCTGCTGTCAGGGACAGGCCTTTCCAAAATACTGAAGAGCAATGATGTCAGTTGGAAGATCAAAATGTGCCTGATTCAGGCCGTGGTCTTCTCAATCGCTTGCTGTGCTGTGAGCTGGACAATAAATATGATAGAAGATTTGATGCCTTTCAGTTGCGGTGTTGGAGAAGAGAATTGAATATTTCAAGGACAGCCAAGAGAACTAACAGGTATGTGTTGGAAAAATGCAGCCAGAGGGCTCTTTGGAGATAATGATGGTGAATCTTTGTTTCACATATTTTGGGCATGTCAGTAAGAGAGACTATTCCTTGGAAAGGTGGAGAATCAACAGAAGAGAAGAAGACCCCCAACGAGGTGGGTTGACAGAGTGACTGGAACAATGGGTTCCAGCGTGTTCGAGATGATGAGGTTGGCACAGGACGGGCCAGGGTTCAGGTCTGTTGTTCATACGGCCTCTAGGAGTTATACTCAACCTGACGGCATCTAATAAGAAGAAGTCCATGAAGAGGAACCTAAAAAAAAAGCTGGTGATCTATTTGCAAAAAAATCAACCGGTGAAAACCCATGGAGTTTCCTGCAGAGATGGTGACAACCTCAGAAGGGCCCTTAGTCATCACTTTCACTCTGACCCCGGTGGCCCAACTTCCAGCCAAACAGCAGACAGGGCTATAAGGCGGTATAGGGAGCTCTGGCGGCCTAGTGGTAAGAAGCTTCACTGCAATCCTGAAGGCTGGTGGTTCGAATTCACCAGCTGCTCCTCGGGAGAAAGATGGGCAATCCCCTCTCGTGTGTTTAACTGCCCTTGAAAACCTGCTGGAGGGTCAGCTGTGGGTTGGCTTCAACTTCATGCCACACAATGACAATAACAACAGGTGATATAATGTGTTACATGTCATGATGCCACCCAGGAGGTCAGAGGTTCGAATCTACTAGGTGCTGCATGTGAAAAAGATGAGCAGGCTTCTCCCATAAAGATTTACAGCCTCAAAAGGCCAATGAAAGACCATCACGAGTCAGAATCAATTTGACGGCAGTGGCTATAAGGTGAGCAATAACAGCAGGGAGGCATCAGCTCCCAAGAACAACCAACCCCAGAGTAACAGAAGGGGAGAAAAAAAAATAGCAGAAGGGCAGCATTTACTCAGTGACAAGGATTGGAAGGCAAGAAGGGGGAGGGGGTAGGGATTAATGGAAACAAGACTTACAGGGAGGAAGTGGGAAGAGTGTGTTTACATTGTGGGTGTCGTAATTAATGGCATTAAATGTGTGTGACTGGTTGAGTGGAAAATCAATTAGCTTTGTAAACTTTTCAGGGAGAACCGGCACTCTGCCCCTGTGCATGTGAAATCATTGTGAGTCAGCACCTACCCCAGCACAACTAGCTTCTTCGTTGTTTTCACATACACACGTTAACCCACCCAGACTGTCCCAGAGAATATTCCCAGCCTGCAGAGGCTCCTCTGTTCCCTTTCTCAGTCAGCAGCGTCCCTAAGGGTAATTGTTTATCTGAATATATTTCCTCCTAGATGAATTTCGTCTGTTCCTGAACTTCATGTCCATGAAATCCCACAGCACGGGTTCTTTTGTGTCTGATTTCTTCCACTCCTAGTGTGTCTATGAGCACAACAACCCTTGTTGCTTTATGTAACAGCAAGGCATTCTTTTTCTTTGCTGTATAGTATTCCTTCTTTGAGGGAGATTCAAATCCTCCCTCAAGGCACCTTGGAAGAAAGGCCTGGTAATACCTTCTTTGAAAAATCTCACTGAAAAAAAAAACCACCAAAAACCACCTTCATTGGCTTCGAGTCAGAGTCCACTCATTACTAACAATCCAATAAGTTTTTAGAGGCTGTAAATCGCACAGGAGGAGATTGCCCTCCTTTTTTCTGAGTTTCTGTTGGTGGATTCAAACTACCAAAGAAGGGCTACCTTTAGCTTAGCAGTGCAACACCCTATTGGCTACGCCATCAATAAAGCTCAGCCTTTACAGAAACTCTACAG